GGGGCAAGCTCTCACTCCCTTCCTCGGGCTCCGGAAGCAGGACCTGAACCGCCCTCCCTCCCCTCACTTAGCTTCTGTTCTCATCTCTCGGGGCGACTGACTCAGGACTCACCCCACCCTGGGCCTGACCACCGATGCTACAGGAGTGCGTGCGTGCTAGGTGCCACAGTCGGTTCTGACCCAAAGCAGCGCTGTGTCCGGCAGAACAAAGCCCTGTGCGGTGCTGGCCCGCACTATCCTCACAGTTGCTCTTCTGGGTGAGCCCAGGGTTGCAGCCCGGGCTCCATCCCTCTCACCACAGGCCTTCCTGCCTCTTGCTCTTCCTCCACTGCTCCAAGCTCGGTGTCCTGCTCAGGGACAGGTCTCTCCTGACAATGTGTCCGAAGCCTGTGAGATGGACAGAGCTGGCCATCCTGGCTGCTCTAAGGAGCACTCGGGCCACCCTTTTCCCAGGGAAGATGTGTTTGTCCTTGAGGCCGTCCATCACTCTTCCTTAGTCAGTGTCCAACCCTCCCATGCACATGAGGCGAATCAAAAGACCACACATATACACATGTATACACACCAATACATATATGCACATACACATGCATAACATGTGTATACGTACATATACATCACACATGTAATATATGTGTAATATACATCACATCTATGCATGATATATAATGTATACACATGCATTTATGTGCGTCTAATAGAAAGCAGTGCCATGCAGTCAATCCTACAGAGGATTTCTGAGACTTTAAATCTTTATAAGAGCAGTGGCCTCATCTTTCTCCCAGGGAGAAAGCAGGACATTTTAACCGCAGCACCATGAGGGCTCCGGTTGAGGATCTACAGCACAGGCATAGATTCAGCCCACAGCACCACCTATGACTGGGTCAGCACCCACACCGGCCCTCCAGCCCCTCGCCTGCCTGGGGCCCCTGGGAGGCCCAGGCCAGAAACTGCAGGAGGCCAGATTCTACTAAAGTGTGCTTGTTCTTCAGGGGTGGGGTTTGGTTCTGGGGCTTGCCCCTCTCCCCCCCAATCTTTGTTTTTTGGTTTGTTTTCTTAGCTTTTCATTATGATTTGGGTGAAAACTAAGAGAAAATTAGTTGAGGAACCCCGGTGGGGCTGAGAGCCACAAGGTCAGCCGTTCGAAATCAAGAGCTGTCCCAGGAGCAAGGCAGGGCTCTCTACTCCCGTGAAGGACAGTCTCGGAAACTCACAGGGCAGCTCTGCCCTGTCCTGCTGGGTCGCTGTGAGTCAGCACGGCTCGATGGCAGTGAGGCTGGGTGTTTGGGGTCCAACAATCCAGACACGTTTTATTTCATGGTATCGATCGCCATCCTCACCAAGTGGTAGCTCCTACACGCACACCCCACCCCACCCCACCCGTTTTCACTTCTCCTGTTCCCCTGCCCCCGACCTTGGTCTTGGGGCAAATGAAAGGGTCTCTCGGGAGAAGTCAGTGTTTCGCTGAGGAAATGGTGTTGCTAGCAAACGCATGTGTCTTGGAAGGACAGCGGAGAGGGCTCCTTCGAAGGAGGTCGGCGAGTCTGTTGGCATGGCACCCGGGGGAGCAGTCCCTGGAGGGGACGTCATGCTGCGTGGAAAGGAAGGAAGACCCTCCTGGAGATGGACGGACCAGTGGCTGCAACAGTGCTCAGACATAACAATCTGTGGACGGCCCAGGACCAGGCTCCATTCTGTTGTGCACATGGTTCCTATGGGTCAGTACCGACTGGACAGTACCTGACAACCCCCTTCGCCCCGGAAGATATGCTTAACCCCTCTGGAAATCTCATTCACGTGAGCATTCTGAGGCATACAGAGCCCGTCTAGCCGGGTGGCACCCACGGGGGCAAGCGCTTTCTGTTCCTCCAGTTAGAACTAAGAAACACCACGGCGGCATGGCGGGTGAAGCTGCACCCGTAACCCACCAGGTCCAGGTTTCAAGGCCACCGGTCACTCCATGGGGGAGAGGAGCCACCTGTTCCCATAAACCTTTGCCCTCCCAGAAGCTCTCTGAGCGGTTCTGCTCTGCCCAGTGGCGTCGCCATGAGTTGGAGCTGGCCGTACAGCAGTGGGCTTGGGCTAGAGACAAGAGGGTCCCTTTGTCCCATGGCTGTTCGTGAAGGGCATCAACACTGCTTCTCACAACACCCGGCTTGCTTTGCTTTTTCCCAGGGGCATTCCAAATTCAAACAGTAGCTTTCCAAAGTCGTCCCACCCCCTACTTAACCGGCCCCCTCGTACCTAATGACTCCCCTAATAAACTCTGCTGCTCGCGCCCCCCCCACCCCACCCCCCGTGCCGTTAGCCAGGCATCTGTGCGTCTCTGCAACCTCAGAGCCAGCCCAGCACCTCGTCCAATCACAGACCGTCTTCCAGGTTTCCCAGGAAACCAGCACCCACTGCTACTTACTTCATCCCCACACCAGGAACTTAAAAAATAAAAATACAGAAAGACCCCCGCAGCACTTCCTGCTCTGACAGTAACTCCACTCACTAGAATGGACCCCATTAAAAATAACCGTGACATATGAACAGTCACAGGACGGGCGGCCGGGAAGCATGAGGTTTGCAGGGAGCAGTTCCCCGGTGGGGCAGGCCCAGCAGGCTCTGCGCCCCCCCTGTCTGGCCTCTCGCTTGGTCCAGGAGGCAAGAGGACATACTCCCGGTCTTTTGCTTCCCACAGGACAGCTGTGTGGCCATCCTTGGGCTCGCCTGCGCCCAGGGCCCTGACTGCTTCTCCCACTGCAGTGTGTAAAGTCCTAGGAGAGATTCCAATTGGCTCAGCATCCCTCACGGGCCCACCCGCTAGCCAATCACAAGGAGCTGTTCAGAACACCTGGCGGGGAAGGCTGACTTTCTTCCGAAGGGGGCTACAGGGCAAGCTGCCCTCAAACACGGTGTTTCTTGGGGAAGGTGACAATGGCCACACCTCACACACTGAAAGAGTCCAGGATGGCCTCCGGCCTGCTCGGGGGAGAGGGTCACTGCTGGCCTGGTGTCCTGAGGCTGTTGGGATGCAATCCCACAGCCTGGGGGTCTCATGGGGTAGAAATTGGCTGTATCACAGTCTGAGGCTGGATTTGGGACATTGGCTGCGGTGGCAGCCATGGGGACCCTCACAGGACAGGGATGACATTTGCATCACCCCTGGATAGGGGAGCTGAGGGGTATAAGAGCCATGGGCACCTTGTGGTCCCCACAGAGAAGCTATGGGGTCCCTTTGGGATGGCAGGTTATGGAGAAGTTCCTTGGATGGGGAAACTGGGGGGACTCAGGGAACGTGGGCCCTGCTGTGGGTTCAGCCCAGTGAGAAGTTGATGGGCCACCCAGACCGGTGTTGGACCAGTGAGGGGCACCGGCCTGCCTGTGGTGATGGTGGTGGGACAGAGCCATTGCTGGACTTGGGCAGGGACACTTGGTGGTGGGGGAGCTGGCCGGGCCCTGTGTTCAGAGGCCAGTGTCGTCCAAAGGGATCCTGCGCCCCTCCCCCCTACTCACTGTCCCCTCCCTGCAGGCCACCGACTCAGACTACGAGGATGAGCACCCCAAACATTCCTTCGTCAACCACTACATGAGCGACCCCACCTACTACAACTCCTGGAAGCGCCGGCCCCCCGGCGGCAAGGCCCTGGCGCCCTACCGCTATGAGGAGTGTGCAGGGGGCGAGCCGGGACCCCGCTTCCAGACAGTGGTCACCACGCAGAGCTCTGGCGGCGTCTACACGCCTGCGGGCCCCCAGCCCGGCGCCCGCACCCCACTCACCGGCTTCTCCTCCTTCGTGTGACCGCTGGCCGCCGGACACACACGGACTTTCCTTTCCTTTTAAGACAAGCGACTCTGAGCCCGGCGCGGAAGTTTCTGTTGGCAACAAGCGGAGAAAGAAAGAGGGAGGGTGGGGGGTTCTAAGAAGGGTGCCTCGAAGGACTTGTCTGTTTCCATTTCCTTAGGAGGGTTTTTTTAATGGCTTTTTGTAACAGCGTTGCTGCGGCAAGCAGGCCCGGCTCCGTTTTCTTTGTACGAGAAGGCGTGTGTCCCCGACAGTCGGCACCTCGGGGGTGCCAGGGGACCTGGCGGCCACCGGCAAGGCTGAAAGGAGGCACAGAGTATGGGGAGGGGACACGCAGGGGCCTGATAACAGACTCCTGGTCACCCCTTTTCTCCATTCTACCTCCTCTTTCGAGCGGGAACAGCGGATCCTGTTCTCCATCCTCCCACTGCCTCCAGCGCCTCTCAACCCCCTCTGGGTCTCCCTGGGGTGGGGGGGGGGGCTTGGGGACCCAACCCTAGGCCCTCCTGCCCCTTCTTGACTCCATGGGTCACTAGGTGTGACATTAGGTCCAAGGTGGCCCAGGGGTCCATGCAGAGACCCACATGTGACATTCTCTGGCCCCCAGCCTCTCTTAGGAAGGAGCGGGCCTGGTGCAAGGGGCTCTGTCCCATGTGCTCTGCTGCTCACAGAGGCTGCAATTGGAGCCAGGCTGCAGCCCCGCGGGAGCAAAGGCCTGGTGGTCTAGCCCCTGTGAAGATGGACCCCAGTGCTGGGAGTCGGCCCCCCTGTGGGTTCCCGAGTCGGCGATTCTAGACAGGAGCAGAAAGCCTCGTCTTTCTCCCTCCGAGTGGCTGATGGATTGATTCCCTTTGAGCTAGCAGCTTCCCCGTGGGGACAACAGCCTTTCTGCAGGGCGGTTCTGTGCAGTCACACGGGGTCACCAGAGAGCAGCCCAGCTGGTAGTGCAGGAGCAGGGGGTCTGGGGGCCCTGGGGCACTGTCCCTCCATGCACCCCCACCCGCAGCCCCTCTGAGCAGGAGCCAGCAACTCCCACCCCGCCTGTGACATAGCCGTGTGTGAGGTTCACCAGACTATTTTTTAAAATCTTTTTATCTTTTTTTAGAAGAGGTGGCACGTGACGTGGACACGCCCTCGCTGTCTCCCAGTGCCTTTCTATTGGTTGTCCCTCTGCTCGGGGCCAGGGGAGCGGGGAAAACCCAGGGGGACCAGTGTGGCCCCTGTCCCTCCCTCCCTGGGCACAGCGCCTGCTCCTCTTCCCTCCCCACCAGCCCCCGTGTCCCACCCATGAATGTGTGCTTTTAGCCTTAACAGCTTTCCTGGAAACGCGTGGGGTTTTCACTGGCGTGCGTGTTTGCTTTCAACCACATGGAAACAGCGGATTGCTGTGGGAAATGCAGCGCCCAGGTCTTCCCAGGGCCTGGGCCTCCCCCAGGAGGCCACGGCAGCAGGCTGGCTGGGCGCTGACCCCAGTGGGCACCTGAGCCAGCACTGAGTCACAGCAGGGGTCCTGTGTCCCACCTGACAAGCCTGATCTCTAGATGTGGGATTGGCTGGGTCATTGGCTCCAGAGGTGGCTAGGTGTGGCCGCCAATGACAAGGAAAGTGGGGTGCTGGATGCAGAATCACCCAGTTTGGTTTCCCCAGCATCAGATCAGAGGGTGGAGGGTGGGGGTCCCTTTCTCATTTCTCACTCCCCACCTCCACCGCCTACCTATCTTTCCCCCCTCCCTCCTTTCTGAGAGAGGGGGGAACTGTTTGAAACCAAAAATCCTAGACGCTCTGCCCAAAGCCCCCTTTGCCTGAGCACCACCATCCACCGCCCCCGGACAGGACCTGCCACCCAGGAAGGAGCCCTGCTTCACAGCCACCTCTCTGGCCCCAGGATGACACTGTGGATGGGACCCGGGCCCTTTGGGATCTCTTGGAAGAAAGGCCACACGCAGAGACGGACGTGGACAAGCACGGCCTCTGGGCCTCTGGCCATTCTCTTAAGCCATATGGACATCACTTTAAAGGAGGGGGACGGGGTTGACTGGACGTTGTGCACAACATGCCCGTTTAGGTTTGGGTTTTACTTTAGGCTTGTATTTCCTCCCCCGGACTCCCATGTGTTGAGCAAGCTCTTGTTGAGGGGTGGGGATGGGAGGGTGCAGATGTACCATGCTGGCTCGGCCACAGGACAGTGGTGGCGTGTCCCCACCACAGCCTCCAGGAGACGCAGGGACAGTGAGACAGGCGGGCAGGGGCGCGCACTCACCGGGGGTAAGTGGACACTGCATGGTCGCCGTGCCCACGCTGCGTGTCTGCGCACCAGGCCTCCTCATGCTTCCCCTGTGGCTCCCCAGTGAAGCCCCCCAAGGGTCCCCAGGGCTGTGTCCACAGACAAGCTGCCCACTCCCTGGTACAGGGGTGCAGCTGAGCAGCAAGCAGGGGTGCCAGATGGGCTTGCCCAAGGCACCCCATTCCCGGGGCCACTGATGTCCAGAAAGCAGTCTTGACTGCCCCCTCTGTCCAGAACCCCTCATCCTGTCCAGGGTCGGGCATTCAGATGCTGCAGAGGGCATGATACAGGAACCCACGAGGTCCCCTCCATGGGAGGGCCCCAGAGAGGGAGGTGTCCACCCTAAACCCACCCACACCGCTGTCTGCTTTCAGCTGACCAAGGGCCGGAGCTCAGCCTCGCTGCCTCACCCGGATTTCCAGCGGGGTCTGTCACAACCCCCACATCTGGCAGCCCAGTGTCCTTGTTCCCCGACTGCCCCGGGTGTCCACTCCTTCCCCTCCCGCCATCTCGGGTTGAGGCCAGCCTAGGTGAGTGTGGATGGCTCCCGCCACACCTCCTGGAACCGTGCCGGAGACCCAATCTCCACACCGCCACGTGGGGTGACAGAGAGGTGCTATGGGGGAAATTTTTAATAAAAACACATTTTGTTCCTTAAGCTTCTGTGGCATCCTTCCACTGACACTCAGAGGACCTGGGGACATACACACAGTGAGGGGAACCCGTGCTTAACCCTGATGCTGAGGCCTGGGGGGCTGGGGGAGCAGTGCCCCCACGGTGTGCATCCTCCCCATCCCCCAGGCCACACGGCAGGAGGTTGGTGTCCATTCCCCATCACAGGCCCCGAAAGCCCTTCCCTCTCTGGGATGGGAATGCTCAAATCCAAGTCTGCCTGCACCTGCAGGAGTGTGTGAAGCGCTCAGGTGCAGTAGCCAGGGGCTACCAGGAGGGGGCGAGGCTTCCAGAGTCTCATCCAGCCCTGCCCCACCTTGGGGCCTTGGTTTCTTTGGGATTACAGGAGCTTTAAAACACATCAGTGTGCGGACCACACCCAGATCAGCAGGAGCAGAGGGGAGGGTGTCCGCATCCCAGAGGGAGGGGGAGGAGGAGGGGACCCGCGGCAGACACTTACATTTCTCTCTCTTCTATTGTCTACCTACACCCCCTGAATACAAGCTTCATGTTCATGGGTCGCCTGTCCACTGCCCTTTGACTTCAGAACCCCTACTGTCACATGAAAGTACTGCAGTGACCATGGCCACCCCATGCAGAATGTCCACCTGGCCGCTAGGTGACCCGGGCAGATAAGAGATGCAATGCGGGCTGAGAGGCTGATCCCACCACCACTCCACAGCACCTGGGAAGAAAGTTCCCGTGACCAGCTTTCAAACGGTCACAGCGGTGAAAACCACGTGGGGCACAATTCCACAGGTGGGCACAATTCCACAGGAGGACCAGTGACTGGAGCTCCCCCGCCGGGTTTTATTTTACGTTGGGGGGAGCTTTGTATCTCCCTACCCTCAGCATACACCACCACCCTCCCGTCGAGAGAGGGAAAGCGGGTGAGTTAACCCAGTCATCCAAAGACTTGCCTTTAGCCAGTGTATCGCAAAGTCAGAGCAGGGCCTTCAAACGCCGATGCTCAACATGGAGAAAAGAAATCCCCACCACCCCCCCAGGAGAGACGGAGCCCACCCCCGCCCACCCCTAACCCACCGCCACTGAGTTGATTCTGGCTCAGGGAGCCTGTGGAACAGAGATCTGCCCCACAGACGTCCCCCAGGGCCCCGCATGGCACCCCAGGCCCAGGAGTAGGTCTGTGGTCACATCAAGGCAGAAAGACCAGGCTGCCTGCTCCCGTGGAGATTTTAAAGCCTCCGCAGCCCTGTCCCAGGGCCGCCATGACGCCGCAGGCAGTGGTTTGGCTTGGCGTTTGGCTCACCGGTGCGAGCGGAGCGTCTCACCTTGGTCCCGAAGCTGGCGGGCCCACACTTCTAGCCAGCAGCTTCATGCTTAACTAAGGTGACCAGGCGTCCCGCTTTTTAACAATTGTTCCCACATCCCGCGGCATTTTTAAAAAGTCCCGATTTTTGCAAAGAATGCACGACAAGCTAGGGTGTACGGTTTTCGGCTGCCATGTGGCTATTGCGCCAGGATATGAGTTTTATCAATGGTGTCCCGCTTTACCAATGTTAAAATCTGGTCACCTTAGGCTTAACCCATGACACTGCTGTGGCTCTTTATGTCACCGAGGGACGGGCTCACACACAACAAGGGTGTTTTGTGCTGCCAGACATGGGGTGGCTGCTATGAGTTGAAACCAACGGGAGGGCACCTGACAAGACCCACCGTTCTTACCTGTGTGGGGCAGTGCAGGAGGACGCGTGCACCCCAGTGGCCTTGGATGAATTTCGTGTTGGGCAGCCAACCCCACCCCCTTCTCTGGGTTATTCCATCACTAATCACATAACCTCCGTGGCCTCCCCGTGACCCCTCCC